CGCCATGAGCAGGAATATAATAATTGAAAATGACCTCTCCCCCTGCACCCAGGGATCTTTTCCACAGGACCCAGCCTCAAAAGCCCACAAGGGTGCTTTAGCATCTTAACAATTGTAGGTGTTGAAGAAAAAAGCACTATCCAGTGGGATGTGGCAATGGCATCGGAGGTGCATTCAGGCAGGGGCACTTGGTCACTTCCACTGAACACAAATTAATTCTCGTTGCCTGGAATGATCACAGAACAGAGGACTCTTGCTTGCAGCATGCAAAGCCCTTATAACTGTTCCCCATCCTTGCAACCTGGTTGATCCCAGGCAGTGAGACACCTCAGGCCTCTGGCTGAATGTGTAGAAAAGCTTGAAAGCCCCCACCCCACCTCTAAAATGTGAAGCCAATAGATGGGGGACTGACTTCTTTTTCTCTTATCTGGACAGTCCTCTTGCTACTTTCCAAGGGGCTCCAAACAATGAACCTTGCTGCTGGCACAGGCTCAGGGAGGCCCGGTCCTGCAACCTCCATTTCCACCAGGCCTTTGATCTCAGCAAAACGCCCACAAGCTCTCAAAAGGTTAGCTGGATAAGCTTTCCTCATTTCCGTGCCTTGAGGAGTTTTCCGGCAGGTAACACCCCACTAAGACCTAGTAAAAGGCTGCCAGATTCCAAAGACGGTGCCTCTTGCCCCAGCTATTGTGGGCTTGAGTTTGCAAATAAAAGGTGATTCAATAGAGGAAAGAGGGGCCCAGACTTTTGTCTGACAAGACTGGTATAATTGACGAGATTCACAGACATGTGGCTGACTGCTTTCTTTTGCTGTTTAAACTGAGGGGGTTTAGACAGTTTTGTCCTCCCAAGGTTCTTCAACTTTTGTAAGCACCAAGTACTGGGACTCAAAAAGAAATAGGTTTCCAAAAGGGCCTGGAGCACATTCTACAGCTACAGCTCACCAGCAAGCTACTTTCAGTGAGAAGGGTTCTGATCCTGCCTCAAGTCCCTTTGTAGCTGCGCTTGATCAAGTGGAAGTCTGTTGTGGAAACACTTTATGCAAAATATGGCATCTATCAAGGAGCTACAGGGCAGACACTTCTGCACTGTCATTTTTGTTTACTCGTTTTGTTACTTGTGCATGGGATAAAAGGACTTGTCCTTTTATGGGTCAAAAACTGGCTAATTAATAGAAAACAGAGAGTGAGTATAAATGGACAATTTTCTCAGTGGAGGGTGGTAAGCAGTGGGGTACCGCAGGGATCAGTACTTGGTCCACTGCTTTTTAACTTGTTCATTAATGATTTGGAGTTGGGAGTAAGCAGTGAAGTGGCTAAATTTGCGGATGATACGAAGTTGTTCAGGGTGGTGAAAACCAGGGAGGATTGTGAGGCACTCCAAAGGGATCTGTCAAGGATGGGCAAGTGGGTGTCAACATGGCAAATGGGGTTCAGTGTGGCCAAGTGTAAGGTGATGCACATTGGAGCCAAAAATCCTAAATATAAATACACATTGATGGGGTCTGTACTGGCAGAGACTGATCAAGAGAGAGATCTTGGAGTTGTAGCAGATAACTCACTGAAAATGTCGAGACAGTGTGTGACTGCAATAAAGAAGGCCAATGCTATGCTGGGGATTATTAGGAAGGGCACTGAAAACAGATCAGCCAATATCATAATGCCCCTATATAAATCAATGGTGCGACCTCATTTGAAATACTGTGTGCAGTTCTGGTCACCACACCTTAAAAAGGATATTATAGCTTTGGAAACTTATAAAAATCCGTAGCTAATGAAGATTCCAAATGCGTAGCCATGTTATTGTGCCGTAGCGGAATAAGACAGGAGTCCAGTGGCACTTTAAAGATTACTTTTATCCTATAACTAATGAAGTATTCAGGGGTAGAAGGAGAAGAAAATGAATGATATGAATAAATAAGGAAAGGAGTGTCTAAGCAAGGAAATAAGGATAAGGGTAAATTGCAATGACTCGATTCAATAACTTTGTGGAAGAGCTTCCAAAATGCTATTTTTTTCTTGCTGGTCTTTTTTTAAACACTACTCTTGACCCAGGAGAGGAGAGATTCTCATCTCTACTCTACCATAATGCTCTCTTAGTGACCTTGGGCCAGTCCTCCTCTCTCAGCCTAACATACCTCACAGAGTAGTGGCCACTTCCGCACTGTCATTTTGTCACTCGTTTGTCCCTATTGCTTTAGGGTCCCCCCCCAAAAAAATGTGTTTTGCTCTCTCTAGTAGTCCCAAAGGGAGCAAAACACATGTGGAAAAGGGGTGGGGTGGGGGGGCAAAGCAATAGGGAAAAACAAGTGACAGAAATGACAGTGTGGAAGTGGTCCTTCCATTTTTATTTCTGGTTTTGGCTCCTCCCAGTCACGCAGTTCAAAAAGGCACTGTTTTACCCATTAAGAAGTGGTCCTTCTTGAAGCAGTGGACTTTCCTTGGGATGGTGGCCTGTTAAGAGCTACTGCAAGGGTTTAATGAACACCATTCCCAAGGTGCAAAAGCCACAGTGTGAATGATGTACACGCATGTTCTAGAAGGTAGAGGAGGATCTGGTCCCAGTAACCTATGCTCTGACCCCATCCCATCTTGGTTAGATTGCTGCAGTGCTATTTATGTGAGGCTGCTTTTGAAATTGGTTCACTTAATACTGAATCCACGGCTATGCATTAAACTGCTTTAGCAGCCCCTATGGATTGAAATGGCTTTGGCAGCCCTGCTGTCTTCTCCAGCCACAGAGGGATCAGAATTGGGTGACAGAATTCTTAACAAAGAACCCTCAGCTCCTCACCAAACTCTTGACAGCCAGGCTTCTCAGAGAGCCACAGACGTATAGCCCTGTCTTGACCAACATATCCCCATCCCTGTGGCTGCTGCTTACCCTGCAGATCTGGAAGTTGGCACATGAGGTGGTCAGAACACAATGAAAACTGGTGCATCAGGGCTGATACATGACATTGGCATTTGCATTGCATGGGCAGCAGCCTAGGAAAACGCTGTAAAAACTGGAGGCCCTGGAGAATTACTACTGCTCAGAACCGACATTACTGACCATGACAGAGCAATAGCCTCATTCAGTATAAGGCACCTTGCTGTATTCAAGGTAAGGATAGCAAAAAGGGAACCATTCCCCAAATGTGAAATGTTAAGAAAGTATTTTTTATTTTAATGAAATTCTAATGGTTAGGTCTAAAACAGCTTCAATTACCATTTAAAGAAAGCAACTGTGCCCAGAAGACACAATCCTAGGAATAGCCTCTTTCTCTCTAAAATGTAGGTAATTTGAGCTCGCTCTTCATAAGATCAGAGATCTTTGGGTAGGTGTTTCCCAAGGAGGTAATTTACAAACAGGCCAACAACTCTTGAGGAGTAGCACAAGACACCGTGGTGCTGAAAATGGAAAACCCAGTCTCTCCACTCCTACAAATCCTTGGGAACATAATCTATTCTATGTGCAAGCTCCATTGAAACCTGAGGTTCATTTGAATAGGGCTTGTGCAGGAGAACCAATGGACTGTGTCCACAATGGGTCAGTCTTCTGCTCTGCTACCCTGGAATGACTTCCAAAATCTGCTTGCCTTGCCTTTTGATGGGACTGCTTCTACTTATACTTACTCCTGCAAGAAGTAGATACTGGAAATATTACACTTAGAATTTTTCTGACTGCTTTGCTGCCTTTTATTTTGCCAACAAGCTGCCACCTGAAGAAGCAGTTGCTTCATGGCAGAGCCACCTGGGATCCTGCCATTCTGCCTGGAACAACCAGACACAAGGCAGCACATTAACACCAAATAAATAACTCACAAAGGCCATTGCAACAGTCCAGCTACTATGAGAACAAGTGCTGAGGACTTCCCTTCCAAAACAAGGGGACAAGCTTTCCCCACATCATGACTCGTGTTCAGTGCCAGGATACCTTATTTAGGGGGGGGAAAGGGCAAATGGGGTTCTCCACTGCTCTCGCCTTGAAACCTGGGCCAGAAGAGCCTCTCTTCTTCTTCCACGCAATCCCGCCTGTTTAGAAGGGCAGGGTGCTATTTATCATTCACCCTGTAGCTATTACTCCACCTCCACTGTCTGCTCTCCAAGGCTTTGCCAGCAGATTTCTTTCTACCCTTACAGTAGGCCTATCTTTGTGAAGACAAGATCTATAGCTGGTCTCACATTGGATAATTGGTGTTCAGTCTGCACAGCAAACCACTGCTAGGCTCTCAGCATACAGTAAGGGGTCTCCTCTTTTTGTGAATGGCCACCACTGGG